TGATGCTTAGAAGAACCTTTTGAATCTGAATGCAACTTGTGTAATCGAGACATAGAGCTATTTTAGAATTTGAAAAATAAGACTATCCTTAAAAGTAAAGGAAAATTAAATTAATTTTTTCGTTTGAAATTCTAGGGCCCTCTTGTTCTCTCTCAATAAATTGAAAGTTCCCTGTCTTTCTCCTTTTTTTCATCCTCTCTGCTGTCAATTATGTATTTTGTAATGTTTAACTTCTCTTAGATCAGAACTGAGGTGTTCTTTTCTTTTGTAGAGAGTTGGTATCTGCAATCCTGTTATGCTGTTGGATGAGATTGACAAAACAGGTTCTGATGTTCGAGGTGATCCAGCTTCTGCACTGCTGGAGGTCCTTGATCCCGAACAGAACAAAACATTTAATGATCAGTATCCATCCACTATCTATTTCTGACAGTTTTCTCATTATCTAGGAGCCCAGCCACTGCATGATCAAATCTTTCTCACATTGTATGAGGTTCTCTCGTGAAATACTGAGATGATTTATTTTTCCTTCTGTCTTCATTTTTTTCTATCCTCGTTATCTTGACTTTTTCCTTGGGATTTTTGGGGTTTGGGGGGTTTGAAGGCATGTGTTCAGTTTATGAAATGTGGAAAGATTTATTTATAGCAAGATTTATGTGCATTTCATTATTTCTGGGGCATGGAGAGATGAACTAGTGCAAGTCATAGTTTGATTCAAGCACATACTATGAATATAGTTGAGTAAATGCGACTGTGTCTTGACATCCAGTAAACATATTACTCTGTTGACCCTTGACTGAAGTTTTTAGCTATTTGAACGTGCCATTTGATCTTTCAAAGGTTATCTTTGTGGCTACTGCTAATAGAGTACAACCTATTCCTCCACCACTCTTAGACAGGATGGAAGTCATTGAGCTGCCAGGGTATACACATGAAGAGAAACTCAGAATAGCGATGCAGCATTTAATTCCACGAGTTCTTGATCAGCATGGCTTGAGCCTTGAATTTCTTCAGATTCCTGAGGTATGGAAGTTGTCGTGCATTTGGTTTGCTGAAGTATGGGAATGATTTTAGATTTTTGGTTAGTAGGTGTTGCATATGTGAGTCATTCTTTTCTTGTGATGGATCAACTTTTGATACTAAACAATTACTGAAGGAGATAGTAAGAATTTGTTTTAATTGTTGATTCCATCTGATCACGTGATTAGACATGTACTGCTTTAGGGGACTTATTTGTTACTGAATTAGTAATCTTGTTCACCTGAAGTAGAAAAGTTGATGATTATCAGTATAGGTTATAGGTAAAGATTATTAGTATTCTTTTTTGTATCCATAGTCTCCTTTTTTGAAGTTACCAAGTTTTGCTTATAAGCATATGTTCTTTTCTTGATCTCTGTTCAACTATTTCTCATTTAGGGTGTCCTGGGGGTATTTAATGGAGAGACTCACGAATTCTTAGTTATTCTGGCTTTGTTGTTTCTATTGCAGGCTATGGTAGAACTTGTAATTCAAAGGTATACTAGAGAAGCTGGTGTTCGTAATCTGGAGAGGAACTTGGCTGCCTTAGCTCGTGCTGCTGCTGTCAAAGTCGCCGAACAAGATAATGTTGTGCCACTTAGTAAAGATGTCCAACAACTGGCCTCACCATTGCTGGATGGTAGACTATCTGAGGAGGCTGAAGTGGAGATGGAAGTGATGCCGATAGGTGTTAACAATCACGACATATCAAATGCCTTTAGGGCCACTTCACCTTTCATTGTGGACGAGGCCATGTTGGAGAAAGTGCTTGGAGTAAGTGATATTATGTTTCAAGATCAATAGTGTATGAGTTAGAATCCTTGTGTATTTGAAGAAGGCTTTCCCATACTTTTTTATTTACTGTTTTGTCTGTAAAATTTTCGTTTATTAACTAAAAATGTGATGCAATTCTGTGCTTGTTGATTATTAGCCCCCAAGATATGATGATAGAGAAACTGCTGACAGAGTTGCTACGCCTGGTGTATCTGTCGGATTAGTATGGACAGCATTTGGAGGGGAGGTTCAATTTGTTGAGGCTACTGCAATGGTTGGAAAAGGTGATTTGCATCTAACTGGCCAACTTGGGGATGTTATTAAGGAATCAGCACAGATTGCATTGACATGGGTAATAATTTTTATATCCTTTACATTCATGTGCATCGTGCTTTTTATCATGTATAATACTTGTTCTTAACTTATCTTTTTTTGCTTAATGTGAAGACAATCTGGTTGTTGCAAACATTCAAAGCTTGACATTAAAAAATTATTGTTGGTGCAAAGATTTCTGGATTCCACCTCCAGGAGCTTGCTTAAGAATTGTCAAATTGTTTGCGAGATTGTAATGAAAAGTCCATTATGACCCTAGGATGTTTTTATTTCTTGACTCAAATTATTGCTTGGGTAATTTTACCCATTATGAATTAATGTAATTTTCTCTTGTAACAATAGACTTGTGGTTCTTCCTATGCACACAGGTAAGAGCGCGAGCAACAGAACTTAAGTTGGCCGCTACTCAAGAGAGCAATCTACTTGAAGGCCGAGATATTCATATACACTTTCCTGCTGGGGCTGTACCAAAGGATGGCCCATCAGCTGGTGTAACTCTTGTTACTTCACTGGTTTCACTTTTTAGTCAGAGAAGAGTTAGAGCAGATACTGCAATGACTGGGGAGATGACTTTGCGCGGTTTAGTCTTACCTGTAGGTGGAATCAAGGACAAGGTCTGTATTTTTACTTCTTGTGTGGTATTAAATTTTGGTTTTTGCTACTGAAAAGTCCTGTGTTCGAGTCTCCTTTACACACTAACAGGGATAGCATTTATGGAAACATTTGTTTTAGTTTCAATTTAACTCAACTAGGTGTGGCAAAATTAACAGTTGGAGGTTCTGACAGGAGTCTACAAGGAATATTATATTTACTGAAAAAATTTTAACATACAATTTTAACTGATTGTAGGAAAGTTGATCTGGTTAGTTACGAAACTACACTTGTAGTGCGTTCTTCCATTGGCAATTTAGTTAAAGGGAACAGCTAAAGTGGAACAGACTAATAGTGGAAAGGCTGGGGTGATATCTTCACTAATCTGTTTCCTGCCAAAAAAAATTAGGTTTTTCCTGCAACGTTGCTATGTGTTGTCTCTCGAAGGCTATGTTGTATAGATAATACCCCTTTAGAAAAGAACAAATTGCATAATATATATTTACATATATGTTGAGATGTATGTAAAATAAATACTGTAAATAAAGTTGTTTCTTCTTAGTTTAATATATAACTTGAGGTAGCACAATTTTCAGTCACCAATTCGATTACTGAGCTAAGTGCTGTGCAGGTTTTAGCAGCTCATCGATATGGAGTTAAGAGAGTTATTCTCCCAGAGAGAAACTTAAAGGACTTAGTGGAGGTGCCAGCAGCCGTTCTATCAAGTCTGGAGGTAAATTTTGACCGTCTGTGTATGTCGTAATCATTCGATGTATACTTTATTCCTGTACTTTTTTCTTATTTAGATGGATTATAATCTTCTTTGCATGGTAAGTATAGTATTTTTTATTTTCGAACATATTATAACTTAGTATTTGCTCCCTCTTAACCAATGGGGATCTCTTCTACTTGCTATATACAGAGATTTTCCATCTTTTCCCCCTTTTTTTTTTTTTAAATGGCATCTTATTCTCCATGGTAATGTTCAAGTAATGAATTATAAAGAGCTACATTGAATATACGAGTTCGAGATTTTTCTGTCTGATTCATCATATGTGAATGTATTGTTGCTCGATCGATAGATATTATTTGCTAAGCGGATGGAGGATGTCTTGGAGCAAGCATTTGAGGGCGGTTGTCCTTGGAGAGTGCATTCCAAATTATGACAGCCGTTTGTCTCGTGAAGTCCTACAAGCGTATATATAGATATATTTGCTCATCTGACCACAAAACTATGCAACACGGGCATTCATTTTGCCGGCATCTCGGAGATTTTCCTCTCCAAGGCAAAAGGTGTGGCAATTTGCAACTGCTGAAACTATGTACTAAATGAATTATGATATTTATACATTTTGATATTGGAATCTTGCCTACTTTTTCTTGCTCCCAGCAGGCAGTGTTTGCAGGAATACAATTTAAGATAAAGGAACTATGTTTGCATAAATAAATAAACTACGAGCATACTCTTGACTAAAAACATGAATCTCATTCACTAGTGGAATTGAGAGTAACACGAAGTTGAGCTTCTGCATTATACTCCATTAACTCTCATCATCTTTCCTTGTTTATGTTGATATGATATATGTCCTGTGTGGATTGAGGTTTATAGTAGGAATTGATTAATGGTCATTGGACTTGTTCCCCATATCTTAAGATTTTATACTCAGCCTTATTGAAGTTGTTCAGGCTGATGAATTGAAATTCTAATATAAGATGCATAAAATTAGGAATACTTTTTGTTTTTCATTTTACGGCAGATTGTTCAAATTTTAAATTTAATTCTTACGGATTTGTTTTGTTTTGTTCTACTGTAACCACGTAGGCAACGTTTATGAATGTGATAAGTTAAACTATATATGATTTTAAGATATAAAATATATCTTATTAACTAATAACATGTAGTCCACAATCTTTTCACATTTTGTATTGCTGAGATTGTAATCCAAGACAATAATCTGAATTAAAAAATTACAAAAAATAAAATAATATTTGAAAAAAACCGAAAAATCAAATGAAATTTTTTTAATACTGAAAAAGAAATCAATGTCGTATCATGTATGTGATGATAGTGGCGTGATCGCCAATGAAAACACCAGAATAATGCTGCAATTTTTCATGGGCTTATGCGGTAGGTAATGAACTTTTTCTTTTTCTAATTTTTATCACTTTCGAGTTTCGAGAGTTACATCCTCGTTTCCGTGTGTAGCCCACCACCGGCTAACGTTTATTTTCTTACAACCTTACATTAGTTTAGTTCGCGTCAAACAAAAAATGCCTCGGAAATATGTGCACGCACCAAACAACCAACTCAAAAAACCTCTGTATAAAAGCACATGATGATTCACACCGAAAGCCAAGCAACTTTTCCATAAAACATTATATATCTCTCACATTGTAACATATTAGGTCTAGCAAACAAAAGCATTACTCCTGCACCAACACTCAGGGATATAACAGTCACCATTCAACTTAACAAATGTTTTAATTTAAGAAAACGAATGATTATTACATGTCGGGAGAGATGAGTAAGCAACAAACCACTATTCAGGCATAATGTCGTATAGATACTTCATAGCAGGCAGTAGCTGCTCAAAACGACATGATGCTGATGATGTCACTTTTGCAGGCTTATGTATCGAGCAAGCACAGCTTCTTCCTCAACGCCCTTATACTTCCCGTTTAATGTGCACTCAGTCGGGTTTCAGTTTTTTTCCTCAGCTCAAGCTATGCACCAAAGCCAATTTCCTCGAGTGAGATAACCTCCTTCTAGCCAAAAACTAAAATCTGGTCCTTGTTTCAGAATCATCCACCAAAAACTTCTGTCAAAAATCAACCCGATATCTTTCCAAGCTTCTAGAACCATCTTTGAAGCAGATGGTATTGACAAACCATATTTCTAACACGCTAGGACAATAACCCGTTAAAAATTCAACCGTTGTAGTGTAGCTTATGATTCTGGGAACTTTGGGCCTGCTGTGATTGATTCTGTTGCTGGGAATTTTGTACGTTTAACGGCTGACTGTTGTAGTGCGTAAATGGCTGTGAATACATTGGATTTAGCAGATTCTGCAGAAAAGCAAGCAAAAGTAGATTCAACAGCCAACTACAGTACTTAAAAAGCAAAAACAATAAATTTGTATGTCCATATTGCAAATATATATAAATAGAGAGAGAGAGAGAGAGAGAGAGAGAGAGAGAGAGAGAGCACCTGTGACTGAAGATTGGCACTTGCCAAACCAAAGTGATTCTGGGAAGCATCCTCTTGAGATTGATCATTAAATGCGCCCTGTGTAAATAGTCCTTGTGAACCTTGGGCAATATACTCCTGAAACAGATGAGGTGTGTAACAAGTGAATGGAAAAAATAAATAAACGGAACTGCAAAAACCAGAATCAATGTCTTAAACAGATAAGAGGTGTGTAACCTATGCACAGGCCTGACACAAACATGCCAAAAGAAAACAGATAAACTTCCTATTCAAACCTGAGACATGTAGTCATTTCCTGGGGCAAAACGAGCATATCCAGCTTGAGAATTCTGGTTTAAAAAGCTACCAGGAAACCCACCTTGAGCTCCTTGTGCAACATAGTCAACAGCATATCCACCCTGAGAAGCCTATACAAAATTCATCACTTGCTCGTTTAAGGAGTGCCATCATTATAACATGAATGAGGCAATACAAATATATATTCTAGTGCAAACAAACATATATAACGTAAAGGACACGAACCTGGGTAGAGAACTCAGCAACATTATAAGGGACATGCGATCCCTGACTTTTAAAATCATCACCCAAGAAATCCTGTGTCACAGATGAATATTATTCAGCAATAAAGGAAAACCATCCAAACATATACATCTATGAGAGCATCCATAATGTTTTGGGTTCTTTCAAAAAAATATACACGCCACGTAGGAAATAGACCCAGTCTAGAAAAATATATACTCCAATGCAAATGCAACTGGACTGGGTCCTGCTGATGTGGCAGCAAAAAAATGAGACCCGGTCTACCCTTGAGTCTATTTTAGACCCAAGTAGAGCCTTAGTCTCTTCACATTGGAGTTTATTTCATTACTTCTTTTATATTTTTGTCCATGTCATCCAAGACTTAAGTCTATTTTACATGCCATGTAAGCAAAACTAGACCCAAAGCATTGTACATGCTCTGATGTGACAGTAATAAATTTTTTACAATTAACCTGAGACATGCCACCTATAGAAAATCCATCCCTATAAGTTTGGCTTGGTCCTTGACCTGTTACCTGCAGTTTCGGAATAACTTAGGATTATCAAAAAATTACTGCAAGAAACACAAAANAAAAAAAAAAAAAAAAAAAAAAAAAATAATTGTAATGGAACTAACATTAGAAACGTAGCCAGGTTGAGATAGTGGTCCGGCCACAGTCGGATGACTACCAGCGTTCTCCATGGATGGGAAATTGAAGTTAGAAGCACTTCCAATAGGGGCTTGCATGCCTTGCTGTTGTGGAAGATGACTGCCAACTGGCGAACTGGAATTCCCACGCCCAGAACCAAATCCTCGGCTTCCAGTTTGTGGTACTTGAGGTACAGCTCCATGCACCGCACCACGAGTAGGAATGGCATAAGGTTGTGATGGAGGGGCCCCATGGTATGGAGAAAGCGGTACACGAGGCATTGCATAACCAGAAGGGTGCATACCAGGCTTATGAGCACCACCATTGGGTGGGCCAGGTGGCATGTAAGGACCTGCTCAAAGTCGATCGTTATTATCCTCAGTATGTTCAATGTGTATTTATGATCTTCAAAAGTATTCACCAACAGTATATATATTTAGTCTATATATATATTTATAGGCAAAATTACATATTAATGCACCACCTTTCATGTTTTTGCAATTTAATCACAATATTTACAATTTTGCAAATTAATACACCACCTTTACCATTTTTGCAAATCGATACATAAATGATGGTTCCGTTAAAAAAATCTAATGAAAATCTGACATGGCATTGAGGTGGCTCAATGCCATGTCAAATTTTCGTTAACGGAACCGTCAGTCATGTATCGCTTTGCAAAAATAGTAAAACTGGTGTATTAATTTGCGAAATTGTAAAGGTGGTGATTAAATTGCAAAAACATGAAAGGTGATGTATTAATATGCAATTTTGCCATATTTATATATAATATTTATTTCGACAACAGAATCATCTCTAGTGATTGCATATTTCGACAATGGCAAGCTCATAAGCAATTTATGAAAAAATAAATACTAGCAGGATAGTACCCCTGGAGCGGGGACCCCTCCTGTCAGCAGTTGGAGTAGAGGCAGCAGATCCAAAAGCATCGTTGGGAACAATTCCTGGTCCACCTCCATAGAAGAGTCTCCGTTCATTGTATACCTGGGCAAAAATTAACCACGTAATACATGTTAATGCAAACCCAAAATAAACCAACTATAAAAACTAGTAAAAGATGTGTGAAAATAAATTTGGTGGTTCGGCCAATTACCTTTTTGGGCTTCTGAAATTGAACCATACTCTGCTTTAGGTTATTCAGAGGTCCTTCGACCAAGCACTCATGTTCCTGAAAAACCCAAACCATAGAATGAACAAACATAATAGTTTGAATGATGATGATGATAACCAATGTAGTCAACTTAAAGGTATATCTATCTTATAATCATAGTGACTATTACAACTAGAACTCATTGTTTATACCAAAAGGGAACAAAATAAAAGCAAGATAATACCTTATAGTGTGTTAATAAGCCATTCCAAAGAGGTTGCTTGCTAAGAACCTTAGGATTTCCCAAGATGACAATACCATAACGAGCTCGTGTCAGGGCAACATTAAGCCGGCGTGGATCATTGAGGAAACCAATGCCCTGATGATGGTCAAAACGAGATTAGGTCAAGGAACTTTAATGTAGGCAGGAAATGACTACAATGATCCATTAGAGCGATATACAACTCCACCAGAATCCTAATATCGTATTGCCTACACCTCAAATTATTTATCATTTGATAACTAAACTAAAATGTAAAATCTTGTCCCAAATAATTGATGTTTTGGGAATTCGAGGTTCATTTTTCAACTTTCTTCTCAGTTTGCCCTGTCACATCCTCTTATTTTGTGTGAATACGCCTACGGTCAACGACGACAAATACTTTGGGAAAGAGGGAATAGTATTCACCAATATTCATAACGCAATGAATTATCCAATTCAAGGTCTAATGAAAGTTACAAAACCAGAACATCACATAGAGTATTTTCTTTTGGTAATTATAACCATCTAAAACAAGTCGCTTAGCATGAAAATTGCCTAGGCCAATCTATCTATGAACAGGATGGAAGAGAAAAGGCGAATTCCAAAAATGGTCAATTTTTTATAAGCAAAAAGCAGATCAGTTGTGATTGAAGCATAGTGGTGTATGCATTGTACTAAAACAGGGAAATGACAGGTAAATGTGTAGTTACTTTGAACAAGGTTTGGTTGTAGAGTGAACAATGGAGCAAGAGTTGGTAATAATCTAATGCCATATGGATAACAAAACAAGCCCCAGGAGGCACAACAACATTCCCAAATACCACCAAACCACACCAATCACAACCATCGTCACCTGCCCTTTCCCAGAAAATGGGAAAGAAAATAGAAAAATCCTTCCGAAAGGGTTCGCACAGTCGGATCAAGGTGAAACTATTTTTATATCTTTAACCATAATGTTCCACAATCAAGATTGGTGTNGAAATAGAGTGGGAGCAAGAGGAGCAAAGATATGAGAAATCTTCAGCAACAATATGACCATACAAGCATAAGGACCCACCTGATGTTCATTACTCCTCACACAAGACAAAATTATATAATCCTTTTCCCTGCCTTGAAATGAATCTACACTTGCTACCTGAGAAAAAGAAACATCATTATTTTTCCGAACCCGTGAAATGTACAAAATCAAATAATCTTTGGTATGCGTAATTGCCTCAATTTCTTTGTATAACTGCTGCCGTAGAGCACCATTACGGGACATATAATTGACGATATATGCTCGTTGGCCTTCATAAGGTGTAATGACACCAATCTGTGGAACACCAGCAATACAACAATTATTTATCAAAATAAAGCAGGACAACAAATCAACAAACAGATGTAAGAAGCTTCAGTGAACCTGACTAGGAACAACACCACTCTTCAAGAAAGTGGTCACAATTTTCTCAACATTTGCAGCCTCGGTCCTATTTAGATATGATGTTCCACTAGAACTTATTTCCTCTTGTCCCATCTATACAAGTCAACAAAGAAGGTTAACGAGAAATATAACCACATAGGTAAATCTACTCAAACATGCAACATAAGAGGAAGTAAGTGCATCTGCTCAAACATGGAAAATAAGAGGAAGCTACCTACCCCTAGGCTCGCACATAGAAAAAAGTGGAAATGTACAAGGGCCATCAAAATATAAACAAATAACATCCCTTCGTTGCACTAACTAAACTATGAACTAAAGAATTTATTCCAGTCAATGAGCAACCAAAATAATTTCCAGCCATCGAGCAAATGCAACAGAAAAGATGTCGATAATTCAGACAGATCCATATTACATAAGGGGGTGTGATATACCTGGACATAAAAGAACATGGGACGATTTGGTACTGGCCAAGGGAAATCAATGCCAGGTGATTGCCTTTCATTTATTGTCACACCATTTTGGAGAGTACCTTCGTAAAAGCTATTAGAAGGAAACTCTGATAGAGCAGGATGCATCCTATACTGAACCTGGCAAGAGATCCAAATTTAAGGTTTAATGGTCCCGTTTTAATATATATAGTATATAGAAAAGGCAATATGAACGCACCACAAACATACCACTGTTATGAAGACAAGAATGAAAAAAGGAAGTACAATCTAACACTAGCATATCCTGTTTTACCGACTTAATTGCACATGCAAACAATAAAAGTGGCGTACTCTTCTGAGAAACACATTGACAAATAAAAAAAGTACTCTATTTGCTATTAATGCTCTCTTGTTTTATTGGGGTGGGGAAGGAGCAAACAGGAGGAGGGTTGAAACTGAAGAGATATAAGGTTCGTGCAAAATAGCATTGTCAACAGAAATTGCACTCCTAGTTAACTGAGGATATTCAATTCAATAAAGAATACAGGCACCTCCTCAAATTGAAAGACCAGAAAATCACCTGCAATCTAATCGGTTTCACACCAAGTAGCACAAGTCTCTCAAACAGAGATTGGGCTAACCCAGCCCGAGCAGCTTTCTTGCACATAATGACAGGGCCAAGTTGGCAGTGGTCTCCCACAAGAATAACCTACACAAATCTTGTTAGTAGAGTTAAAGAAACATGTAAAGTATGTAATAAAGCTAACCTCATTCATACCTGCTTTACCCCAAGAACCAATGGAATAAGGCACTCAGGTTCTGTTGACTGGGTGGATTCATCAATAAGGACCTACAGAAAAAATCCAAAGTTGGAAAATCGGCCAAGGAAATTGCACATAACCAATAGTTCCACCACCCAGGGGAGTGGGGGAACCATCAACTAAATTCTCTTGTTTGCCACAGCCTATTTTACCTGGCGAAATCTAAAATTAGCTAACCGAGGATCCCCAGCTCCAACACATGTACAACAAATAACATCAGCACTCTGAGATATCTCCCTTTCAGTGGCTCGCTTGAGCGCTTTGTATTTTTTCTCGTCGCTGCTGGATAATTCTCCTGTAAGAATATAGGAAAAATTGGAAACCAGCTAACATTATATACTCGATCCATTATTTATACTTGCGTATGAAAGACTGTTCACTTAAGATTTTCCAACATTAACATCAGAACATCCTGGGAACCATGCACCATATATTCATATATTTTGATAGGTCCAATTTTAAGGTAAGCACCATATATTCATATATTTTGATAGGTCCAACTGTTAGGTCAATTCTTTTATTTTTTAAAGGAAATCGACTTTTTAGCATTTTTCATAAACAAATGTACTTTTTTACTCTTAATTCACATTTCAGTTATATCTCACTCGTTATTTATCCAATTTCGATGCATGACATCAAATTAATCGTTTTTTCATGATCTGCACCATCACAACTTGTTGAAATACCAACAGAAATTTACCTTTTCAGAATTTACCAATTAATTTTTCATTTTCATAAATTTCTTTTCCAATGGATGGTTATCAGAATATTTTGGGCATATGGACTATAAACAAAATTAATCCTAGATTTATTGGCATTAACAAAGACATGTTTCAGTTACTTCACAGCAAGTTTCAGAGATAACTTTATTGCATAGACCTTCAATGTTAACGAGTCTCCTACTATAACTGCTGGGTTTGGAAAATAAAACACCTCCAAGAGCAAGTGTGAAAGTTATGATATTTAAACTTTAGCCTAACTGCCACTTCTCGCTCACTTCTCACCACCAAAACTAGCAATTCTTTATTTTAGCCAGATCATATTCTCATGTAATCATAAATTAATGGTTTTCTTCACCGATCATATTTATAAATAGCAACTACTACATTCATAAAAACATTTACCACTTTATAATTTATGAATGATAAGCATTTGCACCAAGTTTGCCAAGTGCCAACTGCCAATGTCACTAGCAGATAATCATAAAACGTTAAAAGGAGCAGGCATTATCCTAAAAATTATCCCACTCAAACTACATGATAGTTCCCCAAAGCACATTCTTCAACGAGCCTAATCTGGTTCATTTGATCTCAACATATTCTAGTATTCAACATTGATTATGTTTAAACATCACAATAAAAAGTGCACATAAGAAAACTAACTGAAATGCCAGCAATATCTAAAAAAACAAATTGAAATGACTCCAATCCACAATAAAGAAACAGAAAAAAATAAAGAACTATAATAAACAAGAAAAGTGATAAATCATACCTTGTTCATCTTTCAGTTGCTGTAACTTGTGAAGTTCACTCTTTTCAGATGTGTCTAGATGTCTAACCTGTAGACAAGACACAAAGCAGCCACCAATATCCACATATTGGCATATAGAACTTAAATCACCTTGAAAATAGCTCAAACAAAACATTTAATTCCACTCTCAGCCATACCTGATAATGCAATGTCAAATGCTCAACAGGAGAACTGACAGCTTCCCTTGATTTCGCACATAGTCTTACCACCTTATCATGAATCAAACAAAAAAAAAAAAGAACAAAATTGAGAGATCAAGAAAAGTCATTTGATTTCTTCAGGTCTCATTTATTATACAAAAGGAGAAGAATTGTGCAAAGAGCAAGGTTCAGAGTTCAGAGTGATAAGTGACATTATCAGCCAAGTAAATTGCAATTGAAACAATAAGACATAACTGGCAAGTGAAAATTTTCAATCTATCATAAAACGAGGTATAAAGATAAGGTTGCTTATTCTTTCATTTTGTACATATCAAAATGATGAAGAATAATGAAAAGAAGAAAAAAAAAAGGAAAGAAAGAAAGATCAAATGGTTTCTCCAGAAAATGATAATGGATTCACAGAATGTAGATGAATACAGGAAAATAGTTCAATGACAACAGTTGATATAGCATTCCTCCAAATATAGGATCAGATATCATTGTTGGTCGAAAACCAAAAGGCCTATGCTCATAGTTCTTTTGTTGGAAGAATATACATTTACTACAATTGATAAATGTAGCGATGTTCTCTAATTATTGAACTGCAAAGTGAAAGAAAAAATAAATATTTTCCAAACAATCATACATTCAGGGCACATTTTCTATGGCCATAACTGTTAGCATTTTTCGCAGGTGATCAATCCCACATGATCCTATTTTGCAGATCCATACTACAATTTCAGATTACAAAGAATATCAGAACCATGGATGTGGGTCATGCATTCAAGGATCAAAATATATTTGTAACCAATATTCACATCGAAGTGGAATTGGTTGGTCGAAGATGAAATAATCGGCCAAGAATTAGCAATACGCAAACCTTCAAACCAGTCGCGCTTATCTTTTCAGCAAGTTGATCTACAGCCACATTACTTGGAGCACAGACCAAAACCTGAATGAAGAACAGAATTAAAGGAGCACAGAGTCATAAGTTATATAGTAACCAAAATACTTATCTTCCTCAACATGTAGAAACTAGAAAAGTAACTCAACCTGCCCCTGGCCTTGTTTTGCCATGTGATAAACAATTGCCGCAGATGTCACAGTTTTACCAGTTCCTGGTGGACCTTGGATGAGACTTATAGGCTTTTGTAGGACACTCTTGACGGCAAAAACCTAATCGATGATAACTCGTGATAAGGAAAAAATAAACCTAAACAAAATTACAACACACGGCACAATATAGATCTATAACACCTCATTTCTGGAATACTTCCATATTATTTGATTAATCCTCCAATAATTCACGCACATACTTTACTTCTTTTAATCTATCCATAAAAAGTTTGAGCAAACCACTTATCCTTGCCCATCATATAATGTTAAGAGTTAAGACCCATCTCCGACTCATACACTAATGAAAAACAAAGAAGCGTATCAACAGCCCAGCAGCACACTATTGTCCAATCTACTCCTTAATTTAGTACAGAAACTTAATGTGCAGCACTGCACAGACTTTTAGAGATGAGAACAAAAAAAATTGGCCCACATACAACCAAAGCATGTAACTCCATATGTCAAACCATATATAAATGATACTAAATATTACCACCATACCTGAGATGCATTAAGCTCTGGAAGACCAGGTGCACCAAATCGCCGAGGCAAAGTATTGCGAACCATCTGCATCTCAACCTCATGGCCAAGCAGATGATGATAAATGTACCTGCATGCAGCGCATTTATACATTTGATAAACAGACAAATCCCGACGCACACCAGAGCTTATGATAATTTTGCGCACTATTTTCAGAAAATGAACCCCCTAGTCATAACTGACAACTCATCTCTCAAATCACACCACCTCTTGCCGACTTGACGTCTCAAGAAGTAAACAGAATGCGAGTAAAAAGTACTTCAAAGATTATAAGAAACATTTTGTCGACCACTCAAACACGATGATGGATACTTGGCAAGTCAGTAATAGACACGGTAGATAACATGTTAGTGACATTGTCATAAAGCCCCAAAATAAAGTTTGCATAAAGCAACAAACCAGCATCATCAACTAAGACTAACACAAAGAACAAAAAATAAAATATGAGCACTTTTCTTCAAGCTTTTCTCCAGTAGAATCTTCAATTTCACAAAACATGATCCTTGTAAGATAACATAAATTCATTCCAATAAATTCTTCCAGAGAGGGAGCCTGATGCTGGAATCTTAACATTGTTTTTCTAGTCGAGAATAATGACTTCGTGTACGCTAATGCAGGTAACATGAATGGATAGTACCCTTAGTTTTTTCAGTCTTCATCCAAAATATTTTACAGAACACTGACAGTAGGAACCAAAAAAAATGACTTTTGCACTTACCCACTGACACTAGTTTCATCCACAGCAAAAGTCTTCATGGCCCCCTGCATCCGGTCAAAACTCGTGCTCTTCCAAACAAAGTCAACACTGAAACCATGGTTCAAATCAACAGGAGCACCCTGCTACCATAAGAAGAATCAGATTTCTCCTTTTTGCATGAGAAGAACAGTCAACCAGCACATGCAATTATAGTCAAGCTACCTGACTTGTACCAAGTTCAAGAGCAACCTCCTCTTGTGCAGTCAATTTTATCTGAAAAAGAAGACTCCGGATCCTCAACATACTTTGAAAGGTAATATAAATTAGGTTACGAGCAAATGTGAGTCAGACCCACTGTTCGCCATAAAAAAAAAAAAAATAGAAGAAGACCAACGCTAAGCCTCTGCAAGGCAGGTTATGCAAAAACAACCAGTGGGCCAAATGCAAAAGCTTGACGTAAGATTAGATAAGTAAAAAGAGTTCAAGGGAAGAAGCCATACCACATGACCAACGGACTGCCAGGTGGGATGAGCTCCATCACCTGAATATCGTAAGCGTAACTCATCGCCAGGTACAAGGCGTAACTCATTATCTTCCTACAGGTAACATGCATTCTTCAATGAAGAAACCAATGGGAAATTATACTTAACAGAAAAATACGTTACCTTACGAAAGACTACATTTGCGAAATATGTTACCTTAGGAAAGACAAAATATGCAATGCGCTTCTTGTTAAGACCAATATCCCATCTAATTGTTATATTGTCTTTGCTTTGGGACTCTTTCATCATCTGCAAACAACCATTGATATCAGAATTAACTATTTTTCCCACAATATGCTTCATTAGTCCACAACTGAAAGTTCCTATTCCATTTTTGGGAAATCACAGATGTATACTACAGCCTGAATTATTCTCCAAGATTATAGTGAGAACCCAACGCTTCATAACTACTTTCTACAGCAGAAAATATAAAAATAACAAGAAAAATCTCTATATAAATCTTCATTCAAAGCATTGAGTTCAGAACCAATTTCTTTTAAACTCCACTCTCAGAGGCAATATGAACGCATAGCAACATAACACAGCCATACCTTATCATAGTCTGCCTCAAGCTTGATGAGAGGTGCGAAGACATTTTGATACTGGAGACATTATATAGATGATAGAGGCAATAATCAGTCAAGGCAGAAAAAAAAAAATGCATTCTGTTGACATTACAAGCAACTTACCTTAAGTCAATGAATAAAAATTAATTAATCGCACTAACAACACCTGATAAGCATCTTCGTACTTCAAGGCTACAGATTGAGGCTCATCATCCACGCCAGGCTTCTCAAGATCTTCCAAAGTTGCATCCGGATTTGTTTTCCAAAGCTCTTCTATTTTATTTATCTGCTGAGCAGTAATTTGTCGAGCCCTCAATTGTTCTTGTTCAGATGGGACCTGATATTGCAGTAACTTAAGAACTCCAGAATAGAAATGTTAAGTTTATGACAGGTTGACACACAAGAGATGTAAGAATCCCAACCTTTAATAACCACTGCAAGAAACATCTATCATCAATTAGCGGGCACCACTGACTCAGGTCCCAATTCATGTCCTTTAATGCATTAACACTCAAACAGGGTTCCCTACAGAGGAGAACAACCACGCTTTCTGTCTTTGCAGATATAAACCCAAGAAGGAAAACGTTCCGACAACCACAGTTGTAACACTCGAGAATTGTTTCTCCCAAGGGACTGTCTTTGTGTAGACAAACTTCCTTATGCTTTGCTCTTACCTGAGAAATATCAAAGTAAATCAAATCAAAAAAGAGCATAGCATGTAGATATTTAAAACCAACAATTCAAAGCCACTTCGTCAGAGGCTAAATTGGGATACTTCAATATACCATACAGAAACGCAAGCATAACCAAAAACACTCAGAGAGACCCATGAAATACGAGCCAAATTAGCTATTAACTGAAGCCTGTATTGAAGTATATGAATCAAGAAACAATTATGTCATATTAGATATCCTGAAGATGGCATTTACCATAGGGTGCCTTAGTGATCTCCAAATGCAAGTTTAAATAAAATAAAATAAAAAAAAAAAA